GGATGCCAAGGCTTTCATTGTAAGGATTAAATAAGACCATGAACATTTAGCATTTGGCCTAATACTTGACATGTAATAATTTCCCAGTTTGTGAGTGATTTTTATGAATGATTATTATCAATACTAGTAACAGCTTGGCATCATAACCTGATGGTATGAATTTAGCACATGCTCTCTAATTTCACCAGTACCATATCAAAATAACTCATGTGTGAAGATGGGAAGTCAATTTCTTGGCCTCGGTGGGACTCAAAGTTGATTTGAATTCCTAAATTCTGTCTTATTGTCCACACAGTTGCATGTGTGAAATGCATGCTTTTTGCTGAGCCAGTCTGTGGAATATTTTTCAATAATTAAATTCGTATATCAATTAATGAAGACACTTCTTGGAAACACGGTATTTTCCAGAAATCACAATAAACTTTGTTAAGATTTACTTCTGATGTGAATAAGGATGTATAAGGGACTTCCAAAAGTCCATGAAAAATTGGAATTAAAGGACGAGTTTATTTTGGTGCAAAAAAATGTGAAATCTCTGCATAGTTTTTGGTAATACGTATTTTCTATGAACTTTAAAGACCCCCTTGAATACAGAACGAATGTGTCTGTTGAGGTAGCACTTATACTAACTTCCAGCTTTGGGAGAGGGTCTTTACCGGTCTCAAAAAACTGAAGGACAGGGCTGGCTCTGTGGCCTCATAGTCAAGGGAGCCGAATGTCACATGACTAACCATGAGGTCTGAATCCCAGGGGGCAACCTGACAAACATTCCGAGGGGGTATGCGTGTCAGTGCCCCGAATACTGACAGGATGGAGGAACGGAGGAGATGGGTGATGGAGGAACGGAGGAGATGGGATTATGGCATGACTGGATCCATTGCGTGTGCGGGGAGGGGTTTTGGGGGTGTGTGTGCTTTCTCTCTCTTCCTGTCTTTGTCTCTCTGTCTCTCAATGGCTAGTGCAGGTGCCCTTCAGCAAAAACCAACAAGAACAAGAAAATAAAACCACAACCAATGACATCTATTCAGTTCCTCTTACTTCCTGGTCAGTTTTCACACTTCGATATATCCTCAGCCTCTAGGCAGTAGGGCAGAACTGTATTTCTGCCTCACCAACAGAAAATCTGAGGGAGGGAACCAGCAGTTAGTGTAATGGCTATGTCGCTGGACTCCCACGTAGTCAACCACGGTTCGCGTCCCGGACCCGGTGGCTTAAAACTCACGCCGGATGCGTGTGCATGCGTGCCCAAGACCCCGAGAGGAGAATGGAGGAGAAGGGATTGCGGCGTGACCATCCCCCCGGGGGGTGATTTCTCGCTTTCTGTCTCTCTGTCTCTCTCTGTCTGGCGAGCGCACGCACCCTATAGCGAAAAAACCTCTCAAAAAAAATAAAAATAAAAATGAGGGACAAAAAAACCTCTCAAAAAAAAAAAAATGAGGGACAGCAGGCGGCGTGATGGTTAAGGGTGCTGGACTCCCACATGGCCGACTGTGGTTCGAGTCTCAGACCTGGAGGCTTGCTTTCTGACTCTCGCTCTCGCTCTGTCAAAGTTAAGATTTACTTCTGATTCAAATGAGGATATACAAGGGAACTCGGTCAAATTAAAACAGATAGATAAATAAAGTCAAATAAACTAATTATAAAAGAAAAAAACAAATCTGAGGGAGGCACAGGCGGTTTCTGTCTTCTCTAGACCAACAAAAAGCAGAGCAAATACAGAAGCAAAATGCTGAGGAAATTGGTGTACTCTCCCAGACCCTCAAAGCCAAGCGACCAGGGGCTTTCTCATCTTTCAGGAGACATGATTATCATGCCCTCCTTTTAAGGCTGTCAAGAGGATTGCCTTAGAGAATTCATTCAAGTGCTCCCCTAGTGTCTGACACTTAAATGGGGCTTAACAATTGTTAATCATTGAAGTGATTATTGTTGTGTAAGACCAAAGTTCCTGCTCCTCTGTATTCGACCCGTGGACCTATGTAACCCCAGAGAATAAGGATGGTCTGGTGTTCTAGGTAGAACTGCTTTGGATATCGGAAAATCTTAGTGTGATGACCTTTGACATCTTATCTATGACCCCACTTTGACCCTAGAGCCAAGAGGACCTGGAAAACAGCCGGCCTGAGGGGGTCCCGGCTCCAGCTGTCAGGTCTCCGAGATGCCTCTTTAAAGTCACAGATTGGAAGCCTTGGGAGAAGGTGGCTCTCCCTACACGGCTTGAGATTACACTTGTAACCTGGGAGTTTGATAAACCAAGGGGTCTGGGGTTTCAATTCCCTCCTTCCTCTGCTTCCCGAACTCGCGGTCATTATCTTTGTAATGCACTAATGCTAAATAATGATGCTGCTAATGCACGCCGCATTTCGCGCGCAGGTGCCAGCTGTTACCTCGCGGGGCAGCTGACCGCGCTGCGCACACTGGGGCGCATTCATCCGCCCAGCCCCGGCCGGCGCAAACAAACAAAGCCAGCCCCAGCCTTCCTGCCCTCCTCCCGCCCGCTCCCGGCCTGCAGGACGCCCTTCTCGCTCCCGCCCTGCCCTCGCGGCCCTCCCCCGCCCCTCCTGTCCCTTCCCCTCCAGCCCTCCCTCCCACCGGCGGTTTCCTCCCGCTGCAGAAATCCAGGAAGCCACCCCCCACATTTCCTCTACCCACAGTTTTCTCCAGGGCCTGACTCACACAGTTCAGTTGATTTGGAGTTCCCTTCGCTGCCCCCTGAGAAACCGCAACTCTCCCATTCATTTTGGGGAGTGCGGACCGGCCAGATAAGGTCGCTGGTTTCTGAGTCTGGTCATTGACCTTCTATCACCATCATCATAAAAAAAGGCATATTGAAGACAAATTACCAAAGAACAAACGTGAAGCTGTTGGCTCTCTCTCTCTCTCTCTCTCACACACACACACACACACACTCACACACTCACACACACGACGCGTTACATGGTCAATAGAGCAGCCTTCAGCGGACATCTGCACGATGAGTCGTTTTTCCGTAACTTTAATCCCGTAATTCATTATTTCTGTGTTGCTGGTTACAGTAGCTACGAGGGCGCACAGCGGGCCAGCCTGGCACACAGGCACACTGAAATGCGAGCCAGGGGTCTGCCCACCTTAGGAGGCCTGGTTGACTTGTTGCCAAAAACCAAAACAAACCCCCAGTGGGGCTGGGGAACTGGAGTTGCAGTTGCTACACGGGGTGGAGGCTCCTTTAATCCTGACAGCACGAGTACGCCCGGGGTCACAGCACAGCTGCTCTGGGGAAAGACAAAGGGCCAGGTGGGGTCCAGGGCCGGGTGCGGGCCCTGGCGGCCGGCGCGGTGGAGGGGCCGGGCTTCGCGCCCGCCTCAACCCCGCCGCAGCAGTTAACCTTGACTTCTCCCTTCTTGCTCCTGGCACCGGAGGAAAGCCGGGCCAGATGGGCGTCCTCGGTGTGATGACGTCCCCACCCGCCCCCGCGCTCTCGCGCAGATGTCGCATGCTGCCCCGGGGCCCCGCCTCGCCGCCCACGAAGGCCGTGGGCCCTGGGCGCCCGGGGGTGGCGGGCATAACCCGCACCTTCCCCGCCCACGCCCAGCGCCCTTAAGTCCCTTGGCCCGGCCTGCCCGGATCAGACGAGCGCCCAGGCTAGCTCTGGGTGTTCCTGCGGGGGTCCCCAGGAACAATGGCCAGCCTGTGCTTTCCCGGCGGTGGGGACCGTCCCCGCAGCTGGCGCGGCCCTCGGGGCTGAGAGCCAGCGTTCCCCATGGCCTAGGCCTGGTTGTCCCTTGGGGCACTGGGGCCAGACCTGGCGAGGACGTCTGAGGCCCCGGAGACCCGCGCTCCGGGACAACAGGGTCACCCGCGCTGGGCAAGTCCATGGAGACAGACGACGCAGTGACAGACTGGAGGCGGCTGGAAGGACCTGTAATTTATGACGTTGTTCTTACCAGCCTGTTTTGGGGTTTCACAAGCGTTGATAGTTTCCTTCCCATTAGTTGCTTCTGTCCATCCCTTTGGAGAACACTCCTTTCCTCTCCCCAAGACAGAAGCAGTTGCCATTAACGTGGTAAGGGGAAAGTGGGGTTCAACTGGAGGAGTTGAGGAGGAGGGCTAGGGAAGCACAGGTAAGGGGCAGGGCTGAAAGACAGGCTCTTAGTCCAGTGTGGACCTTCCACTCATTTTACCCAGACATGGGGCGGGGGGGGAGAACACTGACCCCTGAGAGCTGGGGTTGTGCCCAAGGATAGTAAGAACAATCTTCCCCACTCCTACACCCATCATTTGCCTCATTTACAGATAAGCCTCTTGACCCTAAGTTGTTTGTTTTTTAAGCACTGCAGGCTGTGAAAATGAGGTGGATTGCAGGAATCAAGGGGTGAATTACTCCTGACAAGGCCCTGAGAGGCGCCTGCCTTGCCGCCTAATTCTGGGGACTTGAAGTGCTGGGTGCGCCTGATTCAGGATCGCTTTGGTCAAGGATGTCCTGAAGATTCCCTGTATTACTTTAGTGCTTGGGGAGAAGCTTGGGTTTTGCCAAGTTTAATGCAATAAATGAGGAAATGTGAGGCACAACAGAGGGCTCCAAAATTGGAGGAGGTTTTATTTCTTCTTACCTATCGCTTTCTCTCTCTTTTTTTTCTTGAAAGGAAACTTCTAGAACCCTTCCTTTTCTGGACTGGGGTTGCTAAATGGAACTCAGAAAGCAACTGCTCTAAGTACTTCCTGGGGCTGGCTGTGCACCGGAAGCCAGGACAGACTGAACGAGAAGAGGTTGGACCTGATCAGGTCCATTCTGGTGGCTGCCAGGGCCAGGTGGCCCCTAGCCAAGGGCTGCTCCCACTCCTGGGAATGAGGTGGGGACAGGCCCGGGCAGAGCCATGGGCTCCAGAGCCACAGCCCCTGCAGATGGCTGGGTCATTTTGTGGTTTACAAATGACCAAGTGGGGTTGAAGCCGCAGTCGCTGTGGTTACAGGCAACCGTGATTAGTCACACAGTTAGTGACCCAGTTATGGCACACCCTCTTTTAAAAGGACATTATTCAACATCTTGCTAGTTTGATTTCAGAAATGGTCGTGCATACAAGGAAAATGAAGACGGCAAGGGCCTGGGGACTGAAATCCAGACTGTGCGTCAAGTGGGCTGCGAGTTTGGTTTGCTGACAAGGGGACAAATCTGGGGTGTTCCTTTTGAGACAAAAGAATCTCACTGGGCTTGGGGGAGAGGTGGCTTTCTGAGTTCAGGTCTGACCCTGTCCGGGGAAGTCTGCAAGGGGTCTGTGAGGAGTGAGAAAGGCTGCCTGGCTGCTTCCTGAGCTTTGACTGGGCTTGTGTATCTGTGGCCATCTGCAAAATGAAAGTGGGGAGTGAGGAAGGCAGGAAGGGGAAGAAGAACCCTAAATATGAGGGCCTGTGTGGGTTTTTACTTTTTAAAAATAGCATTTCTTTTACCACAATGGCACAGGAACTTGTAAACAGGAATCCTCAGCAATAGTAAACAAATTAGTCTAAGTTCTTTTATCTGAGAAGTAAGTAGAGCAAGTCTCTTCCTTTCTTTCTCTTTCTGCAAAACAAAAATTTCCCCTCCACTTAAAGCCTTCTTTGCTGGTAAGTGTTTGTCCAGGAACAAACAGTCTTTTATTCAAAGGGTCTCCAAAAGTTCATAAGCAAAAAAGTGTCCAGCGTCTGGATGCCACAATACAGAAGCTGGCTACATAGTGGAGGTTTTCTGTCCTGAATCTGTGATCTGCTGTCAGAGTCCTTTAATTTCTCTGAACAGAAGGCTCTTTGGGAGAAGAAAGGAAGGGGGTGGGGAGCAGTATTGGAATCAGTCTTTTTCTTTTTTTTCCCCTTCCCTTTGCTGTTTTCTTCCAGGCAGCAAGGAGTGCATGGATTCTTCTGATCTTTCCCTGCATCTTACTGAGGTGAGGGCCACGGAAGGGTTAAAGGAGGCCACAGGCAGGTTTCCTGCTGGGGTGGGGCAGCTGAGCAGGTACCACCTAGGAGCTGTTCATGAAAGGAGCCGCCCCACTCCTGACACCCTTTATCTCCTTTGGAGATTTTCCTTTTAGGGCTTGTGTTGAATGCAATCTTCAGTGATGACCGTCTTTTTAAAGCTATAGGTTTCCTTTGACCGTCAGGAGCCCACCGATAGCCTCGATGTTCCAAATGTCGGCTCTGGTGAGATGAAAGGAAGCAGGCAACTGATGAAGGAGGAGATGGACTATCGTTTTGAGAAATGAGCCAAAAGAATGATTGGTCACTATGTTTTAATTGTTGATAAACCAGTCATCTTAAACATTGGGCCATGTTTTGTGGGCTGAAGTTTCCATTTCAATGGATTCAACTGACAGGCTTCGGCTGAGCTGCCTCTGTGAAAGCCAGGTGCTTCCCCAGGTGCTGAGGCCACAGGAGAGAGCGGGCACTCTAAGGCCGTGCCGCTGCGGCATTGTATTCTGGTGGGAGAGCTACGGAGGGATTTTGTAAAGCATTTCGGGGAGGCCAGACTGTGTGGTGGTGAGATGCTTCTCTGCACGGTGGGCCTGCATAGGAAGGTTCCAGAGGTGCCTCGAGACTCCCTGCGTGTGTGTTGTGCCACTGGTCCAGGCTGGCTTGAACCGGGGCTGGATCACTCTGCTGGTAGGTGCTGTTTTTCTGCCTGTTTTCCTCTTTCTCTGTCTCTCTCCCTCATGGATGAAATAAATATATTCACTTTAAAAAAATAGAATAAAACCAGGATAGGGATAACTGCTTTAAAAATAATAAAACAGGAGTGAGAAAAGGCCTTCGCATGTGGAAACAATTCTGCTTGCCAACCTGGAGACCCGGGACGAAGAGAGTCCCTAATTCCTTGTCTCCCTACAGCCTCTTTTTCAACTATGGCTTTATTTCTTCCTCTCCCCCATTTCTACTCCAGGACCAGGAAACCTTTGCCCATCTAGAATCTTAGGAAAGGGAAAGCAGGAGAGAGAGGAAAGAGAAGGAGCTCTTCACAGGCAACTGAGGTGATGTGGTGCTTTATAGGCGAGAAGAACCAAGTCTGTCCACTCGCCCCTGGACCCTGGGCCAGGCAGGGCAGCAGGGAGCCGGAGAGAGGGATACTGCAGGCCACCTGGAAGAACTCTAATATTTGATCTGAGACCTGAAAGCAAAAGGGAGGAGCCACAGTACCACAGGAAGAAATGGTCCAAGCAGACAGATTCAAGGCCTAGGCTGGTTTGAGCCTCTTGAGTAGCAGAGAAAGGAAGAAGGTTTGTGTCACACGGTTGGGAAAATTAGAAAAGGGTGGAGGCTCGGGGGTCCTTCACTCCTCCATTCTCCTGTGCGTACCAGAGCGGGCCCTTTGACAGGAGTGCTGTTTCATCTATGGCCTGCCCTGATTTTCTTCTGCTCTCCAGCCAGCGAAACAGCCAAGAGGGAGCCAGACACGGCACAGCACACAGCCTGTCCACGTGGGAAGGTTCCTGGTGGGTGTCCCAGGGCATCCATGTACGTGGCACCTCATGTTTCTGATCCTGACTGCTGGAGGTTGGAGATGGATTATGGCATGAAGACCCTGTTGAAAGTGCCCCCCCCACACACACACACCTCTCTCTGTCTCTTTCTTCTATGAAAGAAATAAAAACAAAAAACACTAAAGCCAAGAAGTGAGGCCCATCCTTCTTTGTCTTCTTTTGTGTTTAAGTCCAGCCATAGCTATTGGAAGCAGGACAGACACTTAGTGCTAGAAATCATGTCTAAGGTTGGGGTGGGGAGGTTTGAGTTGTGGGTCCTGTGGAGTTTGCAGGCCAGCAGG